TCTCAGTCCCCTGCTGTAAAAGCTCCCATTCCTGCAACATCAGCAGTTCAGAATGTTCTTATTTAATCCATCATTAATTGGGTCCAAAAATATTCTTATTACTACTAATATGGTGTCACAAAATACAGTCAGTGAGTCAGCAAATACGATGAAAAGAAAGCGTGAAGATGATGATGATGCTGACGACGATGATGATGACTATGATCATTTGTAATCTAGCCTTGATGCATGTAACCTGTACTCTTGGTCTCGGATCCATTGTACTGAAGTTTAAAAAGCGTGTTAGATGTTTTAAAGCTGTACTTCTAGAAAGTGGTATTTAATAAGTATACTTACCATGCTTCTTTGATTGAAATGTTCAGTTTTACTAGAACTAGTAATGGTTTTTCATCAACCTTTATGCATAAAAATAAAATTGTTATTTGTCAAAAAAAAAAAGAAAAAGAAAATGTTTATGGGGGCATTCTAGTAGTAAACATTCAGAAAGAGCCCCAAAAGTCATTGTTAAAGTTTAAGTTTTATACTCATATGGTAGGCTAAATATAACAAACTGTAGAGTGGTAATTACGAATTGAAGACTACATCTGTCAATGTAGTTGGATCTGAGAAATATAGTATTTAGGGCACAAGTGACTCAGAGGAAAAAAAAACAATGGTATTTTGTGGCTACTTGCATAATTTAAATGCAAAGAAAACTATAGTAAAGGCTCTTAGATAAATGAAGAAACTCAAAAAAAAAGGAATTACCATAACTGGTAAGTTTCTATAAGATAATTATTTTTTTAACAGACTTAATTCATTTATTTTTTTGTATAAAACCCTTATGTGGTAGCCACAGCTGGAGCCTGGGTCCTCTGAACAGAGACTCTGGTGTGGGTCTTCACAAGATGGTCAGTGAATTCCTGATAAGGAAACTTGGGGTCAGGTAGCTGTAGATCTTGGAGATAGCATTAAAGGTGGCCTTGGCAAAGTTGCCCAGGGTGGCAGTGCAGCCTCTGGCTGAGGTGTAGCAGTCGTCTATACTGGTCATCATCAGGAGCTTCTTGGGCCTGGAGCAGAGACAATGCCAGTGCCTCTGGGGGCAGGAATGAGACGCACCAGCAAAGAGCCACAGCGTCCTGTCATCTTGCACAGAACAGTGTGGGGCTTGCCAATCTTGTTCCCCCAACAGCCTCTCCGCGTAGGGATGATGGAGAGCTTGGCCAAGATGATGGCCCGTCGGATGGCAGTGGCAACCTCCTTGGAGCACTTAACACCAAGACCAACATGACCATTGTAGTCCCCAATAGCGACGAAAGCCTTGAACCTGGTCCGCTGGGCAACCCGAGTCTGCTTCTGCACTGGCACAATTTTCAGAACCTTACCCTTTAAGGATGCACCCAGGAAAAAGTCAATGATCTCAGACTCCTTGATGGGCAGGGAGAACAGGTAGATCTCCTCTAAGGACTTGATCTTCATGTCTTAACCAGGTGGCCCAGCTTAGTGACCGGGGATCCACTCCTTGTCTTCAGCTTTACCTCCACGAGCCCTGCGGCCTTGACCACAGGCACGGTCTCAACCACGACCGTGGACCCTAAAACGCTGCAGAATCCTCCGCAGAAGCCACCACAGTCTCATAATCCTGCCCCCCTCCCCCAACCCTCTGGGCTCTCACGCTGCACCGGCGTCATCCGCCATTTGGTGTTTTCCCGAAGAAGAAGAAGCAATAATTATTTTATATGTAGGAAGTTGATGTGTTTTCAAGATTGACTTTGGCCGGGCGGTGGTGGCGCACGCCTTTAATCCCAGCACTTGGGAGGCAGAGGCAGGTGGATTTCTGAGTTCGAGGCCAGCCTGGTCTACAGAGTGAGTTCCAGGACAGCCAGGGCTACACAGAGAAACCCTGTCTCGAAAAACCAAAAAAGAAAAAAAAAGAAAAAAAGAAAAAGAAACACCATGACCAAAGCAACTCATTTGGCTTACACTTCCTATCAGTGTTTATCAACAGGAACTCAAACAGGGCAGGAACCTGGAGGCCGGAGCTGATGCAGAGGCCATGGAGGGGTGCTGCTTACTGGCCTGCTTCCCATAGTTTGCTCAGCTCGCTTTCTTACAGAACGAGGACTGCCAGGCAAAACGGACTGAGTCCTTCCCCATCAATCACTGAAAAGAAATGTGGAAGCATCTTCTTCTTAAGGTTTCCTTTTCTCGGATGACTTTAGCTTGTGTCAAATTGATAGAAAACTATCCAGTACATGTGCCTTTGTATTAGTTTACATCTTGAATAACCCCCACAGGATCCTAAGGTGTTGGTAGCATGGAGGACAGGGGCTGAGGTGATATGGGAATAATACAGAATGCCACAATTTCTTGCCTCTCTGGCTCTTGGCCTGGATACCTTCCCCACCTTTAGAGGTGGACCACTTTCACTCCCCTTGAACCTGAGCAGGTTTTATGACTTGCCTTTATCAACAAAAACACTATCAATCAATAGGCTGGAACTCTTGACCCCAGCCTGTAAGGACTGGTGGCTTCTGCTTCCGTTCTCTCATTGCTCAACTGAGGAACTACCAGGGTGCGAGGGCAGAGTAATAATGACCAGGGGCCTGAAGCCCTTTGCTGAATCCATCTTGGATGTCCAGCCCCAGCCAAGTTTTCCCAGTGGAACACAAACCATGAGCAAGCGGTTACTGCACAGGGACGTAGTTCTTCAGCCCACCAGCTGACCTGGCAAGCCACACACATTCCCAGACTCGGCTCTGTCAGCTTGTTCTCCGAAGCCTAACTCTAAGACACCAACATCAATAGGAAGGAAATTAAATGAAGTGCAGTCCTCAGAGCACCATCTTGGAGAGCTGGGGTCCAGGGAGTTCCATAGAGAGGAAAGGGGTGCAGTGTGCAGAACTGCAATGGTGAGCATGGGGTAATGTGTCACTATCTTCCTCATCCGTGGTCGGAACATGGCTATTAACCTTGACCTCCAGAGGCTAGGTCCTACACTTATTTATGTAAACATAATTGATTTTCTGCAAGTTAAGCCTCAGAGTACTTTATATGCTTTATTTAGTTGGATAAAACTGAATAAAAAGAGATGAACTTGAGAGATGGCTTGCTGGTTAAGCGTGTTATTTGCTCTTGCAAAGGATTTTGAGCTTGCTTTTGAGCACTCAAGTTACACAGCTCACAGCCGTGTCCAACTCCAGTTCTAGGGCATCTGATGCCCTCCTCTGGCCACACACACACACACACACACACACACAAACACACACCTGAAGATGTGGGTAAAGGAGGCTTACACATTCTGATGCTATGTAAAGGTCACTAAGCATTCTGGGTTGTGGACATCTGAAGAAAAATTACTTAATAATTAGCATTTGGATGGTTTTTTTTTTTTTTTTTTTTTTTTTTTTTTAAACTCGGGTCTCTCTACATAGCCCTGGCTGTCCTGGAACTCACTATGTAGACCAGGCTGGTTTCAGACTTATCGAGATCAGCCCTGCCTCTGCCTCCCAAGTGCTGGAATTAGAGGTCTGAGCCACCATATCCTGCTTTACCATTAGCATGCTCATCGGTTAGGGGTTGGGTATGTCTTCAGCATTTAGAATGGCAGGAAGGGGAGAAGAGACTTTCAAAGGACAGCTTGCAGAGTGGCCAATGTGACAGTCTTTATCTACTTGATGTCTGATGGCTTTCTAAATATGCAGCACTCAGTGTCATTTTCCTATTGGTAATGCCACACTAACACCAGGTATTTTGTATGTAACAAATGAGTCATAACACACAAATGAAAACGCCAGCCCTGACTTGAAGTGTAAAGATGTTCTCGCTAGCTTTGACCCATGTTCTTCACAGCTGTAGTTAAACGTTTCAACCTGTAAGTTTCTGCTAAGATCCTTTGCTATATCCATATTGGCTATTTGAGAAAAAAAAAAACTTTTGAATATTAAGGAAAACACCCCCTTTACATTCTGCTTGATCATTATGTTCCTGGAGATTACTGCTTATAAGCCGTGATAGACTTTGTAATATCAGAATCGATTTTGTCCAGGGAGGTTGGATTCAGGTTGGTTTGGTCAAAATGGCTCATCAGTTGTTTCATTAAAAATAACTCACGTCTCCACTAACGAGATGCCATGCTAAACTGTGTATTAAATTTTTCTGTAATTTAAGCCAATTCTGGGTCCCCCACTGCACCCCATTGATCTCGTCCTTTGCCACTCCAAACTCCTGAATGGCTGCCATTCATTGTGCTATGGATGTGAAGGGTAGTGCTTTGATATTTGCAGGATTTATCTGCCTTTTCCTTTGTTTGCTTTCTCCCAAGAACTGAATGGGTCAACAAACCTGGCAAGCTCTTTAGCAGATTGCATTACACACAGAAGATGTAAGCAAAACAAATCTTACAAGAGGTCCTGGGTCCAGATAAGGTGTGTCTGTATGAATCTAAGACTCTTGCGTCTCTTGCTCTCAAAGGCCCTTTGACACCAAGGCTGGTGCCTGTTCTATACTGTGAACAGCACTGGGGTGTGGGTACCTACCCACCCTCAATCTCAGGCCATGACTGAATTCTACCTCCTGTGCCCATTTAACTAAGGCCCCAGCCTCCTTTCCTGACCCAGTGACTATTTCCGAATCGCCAAGAACAATCACTAATTGCCTAGACAGAGTAAGGAATATGATGCTGTCCTTGTGCCTAAGGACATTCAATAATGATGTCGTCTGTCACAAAGCATGCAGCAGGGTGCTTTACCCAAACTTAAAAGCAGCTTGACCTTGGACAGTTTCCTAAAGCTCTCTGGGTACTTCCGGCCACAGAATGTGAACACTAGTTGGGCTCAGCCCAGGGGATCAAAGAAGACAATGGAGGGGACACCCCACACTCGCTTCATGAACCAGGGAAGGCTTCTCAGAAGTGTGTTAGCTTCTCCCTGTCCGCCACCCCCACCACTTTGTCCCCAGAGCACCCTCCCAACCTATAAGATGCCTCTATTTAGCCACAACATCAAGGCCAAAGTCAGAAGTATAAGGATTTTGTTTTTGTTTTGTTTTGTTATTTTAATTTTCTACAGACACTTCTGAAAAGAGATCTAATAGAGAAAATATACAAAGCATTTAAGGGCTTCACCGCCACGGAGTGCCCAAGTCTGACCCGAGGCTCCAAAGCCTCTCCCAGGCTCGGGGCTGAGGACGGCCAGCACGAACATCAGTAAAAACATGCAGGAGAAACATCACACACCCCTGGACAGAGGGGAGAGATCCAGAACGGAAGAGGAGGCAGGGATGAAAGTACCAGGTGGCTCTCCCTCCCACTTCCATCATTCACAGTAGCCCTGGGGTGTAGGAAGGCATGGGCTCCATCCGCTGCCCAGGGCCTGCAGCTCACAGCCATGACTTCTATACCCACCTGCTCCTGTGTTCCCAGGGGCCAGGCCAGGGCAGCCCGGCTCCTCATTTCTTTGGTTCCACTCAGAGAACAATTGTGCTTGGCAGACTCATCCCACCCTCTAACTCCAGGCTCCTGCTGGTGGGCTGAAGGCACTGACAGGAGTCCTGGGAAGACCCCAGGATAGCCACCTTCTCTTGTGCTCTGATGGGTCCAACCCAGGACACATTTCCCCATCCTTAGTCCACACTTAGGCCTAAGAACCAGGAGGACAGAGGAAGTGTGCTGTGCAAGAAAAAAAAAGTCTTTCAGGACTTCTCCAAATGTGGGGGCTGTTTGTGAACCTCATGCCAAACCCCATCCATGCCCCTGCCCCTGTCCCTGCCCCTGGCTTCCACATGTCCAGCCCCTCCCTTTAGTCCTTCCCCTTGGCCCAGCCACTGGGGAGCTGACTTAAAATAATGAGTTAGAGAAACCATCTTGGGCAACTGTCCCCTCCCACCTCACGCCTGAAAGATCAGCAGAGGCAGAAGCCCCGAGAGATCACAGCCCTGGTACAGGGAGGAGGGCGGGGCTGGAAAGGATAGGTGAGACATGTCACATCTATGGAAAAGTGCCCAAGGTACAAGCTAAGCAAAGAGGAGGAGGGCCAGAGAGTGGCCAGAAGGAGAAAGAAGAGGGCAGGGGTGAGCCTGAAGGGAAGGCCTCACACCACCCCACAGATGAGCGTCTCCACCACAAATGTATTCTCGAAGTGGCGGATAGCATTGCAGTTCTTGGCCCCACGCTTGTTGATCCCTGGGGAGGAAAGAAAAGAAAAAGTCCCAGTCAGGCATGTATTCAGTCTCCATCTGAGAGGAACCTTGGGACCTGGCAAGGCAGGTTAGGGGGAGACCTAGGAGACACCCAGACACAGTACTACAATGTAGAGGGAGCTCCTAGGTCAGGTTCATACTGTGCCTGTCCTGTCCCTGCCCTAAAACCTTCAGGATGCTACTTTAGCCAATCTGTGCCTCAGTTTCCCATAAAACGCAGAGTTAGAATAAAAATGGCATCACTGATGACGCTAAGTAAGGCAATCCCTGGCAAGTCTTAAGTGCTCGGTTGACATTCACTATAGTCTAGTTATAGCTGCTGCTGAGAAGGCTGGGCCAGGTACTGTCTTGGAGCCTGAGACAAATGTGTCACTCACGCCTCCGGGTAGCCCGGCGCCGCAGCCGGTAGGTGTCCTTTCCGTTGCACAGGTGGTAGATGAAGGAACCCAGAGACTCCTTGTCTCGGACATGCTCTGTCACCACCATCTCCTCCTGGATGATGTACGTCTGTGGCAGGTAGGTCCCTCTCTGCAAAGGGGGGAGGGGACGTTCAAAGCACGGGGTCAGCTCCCAGGCCCTTCCCATTGCCACAAATCCCTGCTTTCTCTCTCTGAAAAGACTACCTTCTGGGAACACCACCTTCTTACTCCCAGAGGCCCTCTGATACCCAAGGCCGGAGCCTGTCTGGCCTCCCACCTTAAGGTGGTGATAGAGTCTGCATCCCTCCCCTCGCTACTGACCCAGAGCATGAACCTTTGTGCTAAGGAAGCGTCACTGGGCATCCTGTGAGTTGGGGAGAGGGAAAGGAGAAATGATTCTGGGGATGTGGATGGTGAATGGTGGAGAGCTAATCCTCTAGGGGTGCAGGGATGATGTCCTAGACTCCTGCTTTGGGCTTAGCCTCCCTAGGGGTGGGGATTGGGGGGACAAGATACTGCCCACCTTCACGTTCATGAGGAGCTCCCAGAAGTTCCGTGGAGGTAGCACGATGGTGGTGTTGAGCTCGATGACGTAGCACTTGTCCAGGGAGATGTCGTGGTAGGCAGTGAGACCCTGAGAGGAGGGGACATCCGTCAGTCTCTGTGGAAGGCGAAGGCCTGGACCAGGCCAGCCTGCTGAAGGCTTTCAGCCCAGAGAGGCCCTAATCCCACCATGCCATCAATGGAGCCTGGGACCTCTGAAGTAGTGTCCCCCAAGTTTCTGGATATCTGGCCATGAGCACCCCCTCCTGCTCCTCTCCAGACTGGTGGATGTGCCACTAAACGGATGAGAGCACACTGGTTTGTTGAATGTCTCCGTTGCTACAGATGACCTTTCTGAGGTTTGCAGAGGTAGGTAAGGGTAAGGGTACACGATCATGTCCCGCTACGAATTTCATCAAAATGAGGAGGTGTAGCTATTCTAGGAGTGAAATGACCTTCATGGGACACAGGGGCAATGTTCCTGGCCACCCGATAGCCCCCAGCAAGTTTCCTCGCTACAAGTGTGGCCACCTCAGGGAGAAATGCTATATCCCAGGTTTCAGGGGCCACTGCTGCAGAACACCCAAGGGAGAGCAGGCTGTGGAGGGTGAGTGCCTAGGAAAGAAGGCTAGGACCTATGTCTCACTGATTTTAAAAGCAGCCAGAGACGAGAGTGGTGACCTCATGGGGGAAGAAATTGACTGGGGGGGGGGGGGAACAAGAGGGAACCTTCTGGAGCACTGGCAGCAAGCCCAAATTCGACCTGGGTGGTTTTACACAAATACAACACCCACTCAATTGCCCACTTTGACAGAGAGTATACAAATTAGAGCAGACACAGGACCTCATAGGGACAGCAAGCCCCTGTAACTGTCAGACAGCCCAGGGCAAAGCAGTCCACCCCTATCCCATGCTATCCTTGACAATAACAGACAGTGCTGCCTTCATAAGGAAAGCAGTATCTGAAGGCCAGTCAAGGTGACCAAAGAGACCTGCTGTACAGTTTATACACAACCCAAGGATTCTTTGTGTTCTTGCTCCTTGCTCTGGGTCCCCAGAACATTCTCTACTGCCCTGTTCCAGATCCCAGCCAGCTACCAGCTACCCCAAGTCAGCCTCACCCGCTGGAAGTCATGGATTATGTCTGCAGGGTCCCCACCACCAAACTGGGGCACAGGGACATTAATACGTTCATAGTTCTCCTCAAGATAGATCTTCACATCCTCCTCCAGCTCCAGCCGAGTCCGGATCTGGGAGGACAGGGAGTCTTCATAGAGCACACCACAGTGGAAGAAGTTGTCTCGGGCCAGCTGCACAAGGTGAGGGGAGAGACAGATGGTCACACAGGGTGGTAACACACATGACCACATGGCTCTCTACCTACTTCAGACCTAGGAAGCAGGAAGGGTGTGTGTTAAGACTTTCTCAGAGATGGAGGGCAGAAAGATCTAGACCAGAGCCCAGAGCTGCTAGTGAGGAGGTAGGCTGGGTCTTGGAAAAGGCACTTATACCTCACAAATGGAGGACAGGACAAACATGTTCCTAGGCAGAAGGCCTCTCTGAACCTCAGTTTCCCTATCTGTAATACATAATGACCCCTAAGGTCCCCCTGGCCTCAAAGTCTTCTGTGACATGGCTGAGCAAATAAGAAGAGGACCCACTAGTCCTATGGATGGACAGAAGAGCAGACCAGGGGTTCCCACCTGCAGATACATGGGTAACAGATAAAGTGGAAGCCAAGAGGTGGTGGCGCAGACCTTTAATCTCAGTGCTCAGGAGGCAGAGGCAGGTGGATCTCTGAGTTTGAGGCCAGCATGGTCCAAAGAGCTAGTTTGAGGACAACCAGGGCTACACAGAAAAAAAAAACCCTGTCTCAGGAAACAAAAACAGAAAAAAAAAATGAGGTCAGAAGGCAAAGAGCCATCCCCACTCTCTTCCCAAGGAGAAATCTCACACCACTCCCGGCACGGAGGCCACGCACAACACTGCCCACTACCTCCATCCAGTGGACGGCTTCTTCACCTATCATCCAGGGAAAAAAAGTGGTGGCACTGGTAACAATTGAGCTATGGGGCCACCACTGTGCCCACTGTGTCTTCCTCAGAGACTCAGAGGCTCACAAGGACTATAAGACATGTAGGAGGCAGAATATCCTCTTCTTAGAATGAGGAGAAATTCTGCTGGGATAATGAAACATCCTGGCCACACTGGGGCCTTTAGGGCTTGAGGAAGCCCAAGGTAGACCAGATGCCGGAGCAGACCTGATGTGACTGTCAGGCCAACTGCAGACCGGACTACTCACACTGTCCCAGGGACAGTCAGGAACACCCACATGTCCTGGGAAGTACGAGTGGGTGAGGAACCCTACAAAAGCACAGTTACGGTCTGGGAAGAGATGAGACAGAGGAGCTCTGCCACAGGAAAAGGCCAGGTAAGGGTCCTGCACCAGAGGGTAGAGATGCCTGGCTAAAGGCTAGCCGGGAAGGTGTAGTAGCCCTGCTTTTAGGGAAGTTCCTACAGTGAGAGAAATGTGGGAGTGGAGGCCTGCGGGGGGTGGGGGGAAGTCCCATGGAGCACAATCTCTCGGGTAATTTCTACTGTGGAAAAAACTGGGTGACATTAAATGCTTAAGAAAACACAGGGGTCAGTTAGGTCCACAATGACTGGAAACTCTAGCCTTTAGTCACCCTGAGAGTCCCTGTCGATACATTCATGTGTAATCTCTCAAGCTACTTATTTAACTGAGTTAATTCAGTACTCAAGTATGGTGACCCTCCCTTTTCCCCAGCTCTGGGCAGTCCAGCTCTGGGCCTAGATCTCTAATGGGTACACGGTAGGGGAGAAAAGCGAGCTCCCTTGTAGACCTAGCAGGTCACAGTAAACCAAACGTAACCTGCCCAGGGCTCAAACCCAAATGTTCATGCAAGGAATAGTTAGGTCACCTCTGAAGTATGACCCCTAGGTACAGTGTCTGAGCTCCTGAGAGACTCATAAACCCCAATTCTCTACTGGAGCTGAGAGCTCCTGGTGAAGATGCTTCAGAGTCACACTGGCCAGGGATGGGAGAGGGGTGGAGGTGCCTGGGTGCAGTCACCTGGATCCTTGCTTGGCTCTCCAGTGTAAGCACTGAGGTTGAGGGAGCCTGAGCCTAGGCAAGGGGACGCTGGGAAGGAATGAGGGCTGTTCTCTGGGCATGCCTGGGCTAGGGGTTCTTACTGTCTCTCTTCATGGGGTCCTCATGCTCTCCGCTGCTTCCATGCCCTCAGCAGCCTTCCTTCCCCCATGTCTTGGAGCTACCCCCTTCCCCACCCATCTGCCTGGCTCCTCACCTGAGCAAGGAAGAAGTATCTGTAGATGTAGACCGAGGCAAACACAAGGCCCATGAGCAGCACGACCATGCCCATGGACAGGTAGCACACGCCACCCACGGAGCCCCCTTTCCTGGAGCGGTGTCGAGGGGGGCGTTCCTCCTGTGAACAGAAGCCCTGTGGTCAATGAGATGACTCAGAGGGGACCACTCTTCTGAATTCCTCCTCCTCTAAGTAAATTTATACCTCTGCCTGGACTAGGAGCCCTGGAGTGGGGGTGGAACTGGCCAGAAGGACAATACAGATTTTTCTGGAAGGAAGAAACCTTGCCCAAGCTTTTGGACCACCCTCCCAGTTAGAGAGAAATGGAGACTTGCCTGGAAGCCCCAAAACAATCAGCTTGGATGAAGCGCGCACACACACATTGAACTGCCTGAATTTAGATCCTGTTCTTGGATGAGCTTGATCACCCTCTAGTCCAGCAGTTCTCCAGCTGTGGCTTCCGATCCCTTTGGCAAATCTCCATCCCAAAACCATTTACATATCATAAATCATATCAGTAGCAAAATGACGATTAATTACAAAGTAGCAACGAAAATAATGTTATGGGTGGGGGTCACCACAACTTGAGGAACTGAATTAAGGGGTCGCAGCATCAGGAAGGTTGAGGACCACTGCTCTAGTCATTCAAACATAAAACAGGTCACATGGGATGGCCTGAGTGATGGCGTTAGACCAAGGAGTTCATGGCAACCAGCGTGCATCTGGTAGGGAGGTGCCACTGTCCTGGGCAAAGGGCACCAAGGAAGAGCAGAGCTAGAGAGTGACATGACCTAACCCTTCAGCTGGAGGCACAGGATGGACCAGGATGAGGACAGGGGGTGATGGGGGCGTGTATTAGTTACATTTCTCATTGCTGTGACCCCTGATAAGCCTGAGGAAGGGTTTGTTTTAGCTCACAGTCCACCCTGGAGTGGACTTGCACAGTACATGCTCACACGGGGAGATCAAGTGGCAGACTGATGGATGCTGGCACTCAGCCAGCTTCCTCCGCTCCCCTTTTTATTCAGTCTGGGACTTCAGCCCAAAAGGACAGTGCAGCCCACACTCAGGGTGGGTCTCTTCCCCTCTGCTTTCCGTCTCTGGGAAAACCTTCACAAACGCACGCAAAGATACGCTTTATTAATGCCCCTAAGTGTGTCTTAATCTAATCAGGCTGACAAGGGAAATTAGCCAAACACAGATGGGTATGGAAATTGCTGTACTCGACCAAGATGGTCACTGACTGTGGGAGGCAGGGGCTCTGGGAGGCCCAGAGGATGTGGACCTGATGCTTATCTCTAACCAAGTAGCCTGGGCCTGCAGTCTACTGTGCTCAACTGTTCCTCTGTGGTGTCAGGCCACGCACATCTGGGTGGGTGGATGGTGTGTGAGTACTTTGCCTGGAAATGGACTTGAGGGCCACTTCTGGACTATCTCTCTGCATGACCTCCTTTCTTCCACCATAGCCCAGGCTGGCCCTTATCTATTCTTGCTGATGCTACAGAAGTCCCCAGGCCTGTTCCTACCTCTACTCTAGTGCCCACCATTTCCCCTGTTTTTCTACACTGATCAGACAAGGCCAAGAGAGGTCCAATGTCAATATCCACAGAACTTTCCAGCCTTGAGAAGATGATGCATACTGAGGAATGAAGTTTTCCCACAGGAAATAAGCAGGTGATTGACCCCCTCCTCTATTTCCAGCCAGACACTGGTCTTAATTCTCTCTCGATCTTTTTTCTAGAGGAGTTGGGAGCTCTGTCTAGTTACTCAGGACAAATCCTTTATCTCAACGCAGTAAAAGGGTCCTTGTGATGGTATAGGGTTGGGCCTGGGCTTTGGGAGCGGGGGTGAACCCCATCAGGGGGTCTGATTCCCTACTGTTTAGCAATCTCCAACCTAACCTCTAGAAAAAGGATAGAAAATGCCCTGGGTTCCCACATCCACAGTGGAGACCGCCCAAGATCAAACCTTGGCCACTCTGCACCTGACTTCTAGGCCTGGCCTCCAGATAACTAGTCTAGGACAATTGTCAGCCAAAGGAACAGGGGACTGCAATGGCTTTGCAACTGTACTCTACAATAGGTCCTGGCACCAACATCTAGGGTCCCTCCATGAACAAGCCATTCAGGGCTCTTGCAAACAAGATAGCCAGAGGTGTTGCACTGGCCTGCCCCTATGCTCAAGTGGTCATCAGAAAGATGGCTAGCTTAGGGACAGAAAAGACTGCCCTTTGGGCACAAAACCCTCTAAGGCCACACTATATCTAGGGGTTGGTGAAGCCACTGGATCTAGAGTAGAGATGGGCCACAGCCCCCCAATAGAACATCCATCCTGAGGTCATCTGAGGTGATCAGCCTCCACAGATTAAAAGAGACAATGAGCCTGAAAGCCCTTTGTAGAGGACAAAGTATGGGGTAAAAATAGCAGATCTGTGGGCTGGGCCTCCCCTTTTGGGCCGTTCCTGCAGCCAGCTGTTGAGGCTGCATGTAGTGGCTGTTCTTTTGCTCTTGTGCTTCTGGAAAACCAGAAAAGCTAGCTTGGGAGAGCCACCTAGGAAATGAAACGGGATTGGGGGAGGGAGCACAAGCAAATTGCAAGTCAGAGCCTGCTAGGCACATAGAAGTCACGGGCAAGCTGAGGCCTTCCATCCTTGCACCTGCGGCCAACTTCTCCTAGCCCGGGGAGCTCCATGATGGGCACAGTGTCTTTGAAGGGTGGTGAGAAAGGCCAGCAAGGATGGCAAGCGGAAGTTGAGATTGCAATGGCCCCAGGTACAGAAAAGAGGTCATGCATAGCTCTGGCCAGGTGTCTTTACTGCAAGGATTGGGCATCTCCTTACCTTACCCAGCTGGGGCAGTTACTATACACATTGAATAGTAGAATAATTAGGGAGATTAAAATATCCCACTCTAAATATATTTCTTTGATGGGTTCCCTGTTGGTTTTAGAGAAAGCGCAGCCCTCTGCAGATCTGGGAAGATGCCGGCTCTTTCTGAAAGCTATTCTTTTGTGAAAGGAATTGACATCCATCTGTATCTGAGGAGTGCCCAGAGGCCCTGTCCCTCAGACACAGACACACAGCTTGCCCTGGGTAGTCTCCCAGGGGTAAACATTAGCTGGGAGCACATTCTCTGCAGATGTTAACCTTACCCGGAGCCTCATCATCCTTCCTTAGCCAGCATGGCTCCCTCACCAGCAGCCTCCAGTCCCCGTTTCTTCCACAGCTCATTATACTACGTAAGCTTCAGCTATCTGGCCTTTCCTTTAAGTCTTAGATTTTACATATGGCTCCTGCGTTGATGCATACACAAAGCTTAGTTTGTTCTTCCTGCAAATCCGTATCCTGTCAGTTCATTTCCTGGTCTAAAATTATCAAACTCTTCAGGGGGAAAAAACAGAAAATGTATATCTTCCCAACACTAATCAGGGCTCTTGCCTACCTCTAAGGACACTCCCTGGCACAAAGCTGGGGGTTCCATCGTCTCACTGGCCACCACCCACCACTCCAGCCTGTTGAACCAAACCCTCAGAAGCATAGGACGGAGCAGTAAGGTTGGAAGTGAGATTGACAAGGAAATTTAGGATGTCCCTGCTTGAGGATAAAAGACCCCAGCACTGCTTGAGTCTGTGAGATACAGTCAAAGCAAGACTCATCTTCCAACCCTTACTGTCCCCCACTAGGGGGTCATCACAGTCTCCGATCTCTAGTTATCTGAGACCTTTGGGGTCTGAGGACTGAGGGGCAGCAGTGAAGGTAGTTGGGTAGCTAGTCAGCCTTCCTAAGGGGATAACCTCAACTCTGACTGCTCCCCATCCTGCTGGAGACTAGAGAAATATTGCTCCCCCGTCCCCACATGGAATAGTTACCAACAGTCAGGGATTGGGGGGGGAGTTCTCTTTAGAAAGTGGGAGGATGGTGCATACTGTTTCCAAGGCAACAGGCCCTCTGAGCAACCGTCTCTCTGCACACTCATGTTAAGCATGCAAGGCAGACATCTGGGGACCTGAGAGGGGCCTGGGTATAGGGCTCTCAACGGTGTTCATGAGATAATTAGCAAAGCTGGGGACAGAATGCATAGGAAACCATCAACTGAAGCACAGCTCAGCTGAGATACAACCCAAAGGATGCCTGCTCTCTAGCTACTGTCCCTCAGTAACAATGCCAAAAAGAAAGAGAGAGAGAAAAAAGTAGATTATGCTACAATCACAGACTATTTAGTAGGAGGCAGGGAAGGACAGAGACACAGGCAGACTTGGAAGTGGTCCCTGCCCCATTCCTATCCTTGGCATTTTTCTTTCCTAGGCTGCAGGATGCAATTCACATAGGCAAGGATGCCAAAGGGTGTGTGTGTGTGTGTGTGTGTGTGTGTGTGTGTGTGAATAATAGATCTACAGACTGAGTAAGGCCTTGCTGGGGGTGGGAGGCAGGCAAATGCCTTCTGTCCCAGAACGATAGTGCACAGTGGCCAAAAAGCAAAGACATCCCCTGAGTCTGTGCTACACAGAGCCAAGGCTCAGGGCTTCCCATCGGTGATCTCTCCCACCCTTCTCAGCTCCAGCCTGAGGCGTCCTGGGGCAGGCTGCAACTGTGCAGATCACTGTATTTGGCTGCACCCAGAATTCTCTCTCCTCCTCCACCCATTCTCTCTCCTCCTCCACCCATTCTCTCTCCTCCTCCACCCTGGACAGTCCAGGCTTCTCCAGAAAACAAAGGCTCAGAAAGGATTTGAAGCAGAAAGAAATAAGACCAACGTCCTGAAGAGCTTTTACTCAGAGAGAGAGAGAGAGAGAGAGACAGAGAGAGAGAGAGAGAGAGAGAGAGAGAGAGAGAGAAAGAAAGAGAGAGAGAGAGAACTGGAGCCTCCCAGGACAGAGGGGAAAGCCCAGCTATGGGGCTGAGCTTTTAATCATAAACATTTTTTCCTTGGGAAGAGAAACTCCTCCTCATTGGCAGTCTGCTGACAGCCTTGAAGAGTTGAGCCAGGGGGAAACAGAAAGGATAGAGAACCAGCAGAGTGTGTGTGTGTGTATGTGTGTGTGTGCGCGCGCGCACCCGAACAAGAGGGGGGGGGGCTTAGCTGCCTCTTTGAAGGTCATTATGGCCTACCCAGGCAAACCAGCTCTCCTAGCTGACACGAGGCAGATTCTCCCCTTGCTGGTCCTCTTGCTAAGAGCCTGAGGATATGGACATGGGCACGCGCGTGCGCGCGCACACACACACACACACACACACACACACATGTGTACACACAGAGAGAGTGAAATCTGATCCACAGGTATGTGGGCTGAGGGAGGGTGGATACTCAAGGGCCATTAATCAAAGACAAATGCCAATGAGAAAATGACAGAGCAGAGATTACTGAATTTAATGTGTTTGTTTCTTATGGGCCCCCCAGCCCTGGGGCCTGTCTGTGTGAAAGTATGTGTGTACAGTCAGATGGTGGGAGGGAGAGGAGAATGAGGGATGGCCACTTGGCTGCATGCTGCAGTGGGGGCTAGGGGGTGCAGGGGTGGGAGAGGTGTTGAACACAGACTTTGGTGACTAGCTTCCCACCAGAGGCCATGTCATGGCCACAGGTTCCTGGTTATCCGTCTAACACATGGGATGTTGGGTAACTGTGAGCCTAGCAGGCCACCCCTTGCCCAGTTTTCCTAGGAACTTCCTTCTAGTCTCAGATCTGGGGGGACAAATCTTATTTCAGTATTTGCCCAGATGTAGGGGCAGGCCTTGAGGGAGGTTGCTCAGCTGAAGCCTTCTCTTACCCCCAACACACACACACACACACACACACACACACACACACACACCAGGCCTGGGCACAGGTTGACAATAGCCCAAAGCTGTCATCTGTTTGAGTGGTCCTTCTGGGGAATCACAGGTTAGTCAGATAGAACAAGGAGGGACTCTAGCGTCACTCCCAGTTAAAAGAGAACCTCTAAGCTGTCTCATGTCCTGTCGTCAGTATGGACAAAATCCAAGAGACCTGCATAAGAATACTCCCAGCCCCCGCTGACTTGTCTGTCTCTCTAGCTTCTTGGCTCTTATCTCAGTGCCCTGACAACAGCTCACCTTCTGTCTTGAACTACAGCTGTGTCTCTGCCCGCTCTTCCTGTCATGACAGGCACTGGGCAAGAGGAAATATGCCCGCTGGCACTGTAGAGCAGGAAGAAACTTGCAGAAGGGAACTGACTTACGAGGTCCTAGCTGCAGCTGAACTAGGCAAAGCCAGCACACACCACCAAAGGCCCCTTCACACCAGCTCAGACCTTGGGCAAGCTGTGTAGTGAGAGTTAACCAATAAATAGTTCTTATGGGTATTTTGATCCCTCCTCCTAACTGCCAAGTCTACTTCCCTAAGCTCCTTACTGCCCAACAGTGATAGGGGTGGCGGCTCAGCAGGCCCTAGGCCATAACTAACAGCACACATGGCAGGACGAAGTTGATATTTCCATTTCACGCTGGGTGGAGGGCAGGATGGGCTGCTTAGCTTCAAGAGTGTGATAAAAGCAGGAAGCCGGACGATGGTTATCGCTCACGTTGTTACTGGCCGGAGAGAACAAAATGGGCCACTGTCAAACATGCTGCCTATTCGGAAATGGTACTGAGAAGAGATGTGAACAGTAGTGAAAAGGGTCCTCACGGGGGAGACCTGAGTCAGTAAAAAATTATATAAACAGCTATTTCAGGATTATAGACAGGCAAGTCCCCTTCCTCCCCTTAACTATGGAGGAAAGATCTTTTCAAAGGAAGAGATTGAAGGCTGGGCTCTTGGCCCACAGAGACAACCACTCGTCTTTAGAGGGCTGTTGCCAGGGACGTTTTGCTTGCATAATAAAATCTCTTTTGTTTCCGGGGCACCTCTCTTCCCCTCAGATCTCTTATAATACATAAAAATCAATGACCTGGTCCTTTGAGGCTCAGAGTCCTGTATGGTTTCTTCATTATTAGTATGTGTTTTGTGTTAATCTGTATACTGTCACATTATTACATAGAGTTACATAAGTAAGTCTCCCAAGGCAAATGAGAAAAACTGTAATTTCTTCACCCTGGGCTCAGCCCTTCCATCCAACACCATCCAACAGCAGGCTGACCTAGCATGTGCCCTGTGTTGAATCTGCTGGGACTTCCTTCTCAAGGGGATGATAATGATATTCCCGAGTTATTCTAGTTAGTCCTTCCTGCTCCTTAGATCTCTGGCTTTAGGCAGTTGCGTTCCAGTTCCAGGTCTTCACTGGGTACCTGAGAACACACAATCTGCCACTTACCAGTTCCTGAGGCCCCATATCCAGGTTAAGAGGAAGAGAGGAGGGACCCTCCTGGAAGTAATAAAGGAGGCTTAGCCCCAGGGCAAACTTTTAAACTTGCAAACCAAAGTCAAGTATGGAGTGTTCCTCTCCATCTAGGCTTCAGATGAAGAGTCTGCTCACGTGGAGGTGCCCAGAGACCCTTCAACCTCGGCCTGGGTGGCCAACGAATTCTTGTTGGTGTGTGAACTCCATGCTGTAGTGACTAAAACAGAGCTGTCTGCGTCCCTGGCATTCCTCAGAGTCACAGTCTCTGCTCAGACTGGCCCACTTCATGACCCCCTCTTCTAGATCATTCCCCGCGGGTTCCTTATATATGTCCGGGCAAGGCAGAATCAGAGCTTCAAAACTTGATCTGGGAGGAGGAAGTGGAAGGGCTTTTTTAGTTCCGCCTAGATAGAAAGACTGGGCTTGGTGTGCCCCAGGACCGCTGCGGGCCATGTGACAGTGGCCATGAAAACACCCTTACTGGAGCAAAATGCTGGGTCCACTTTTCGTTACCAGTCCTTCCAGCCAGTGACTGCCATGAATCCTCCCCGAAACACTCCACATAGCATAGTTTTCCATGGCGGAAATGACCTGGGCCCTCTCAGCCAGGGGAAGGCGGGGCACGCCGAGGCCAGATCACACAAAGCCAGCTGAGTGACTAGGGACGTCTAGGGCACTGGGGCAGTAGGGAGCCCACTCAGGGGATGGTAACAACGCAGCTGGAAGCCAGAGAAGAAAGCAAAGATCCAAGACTCGCAGGTGTGAAATGGGGAGAAAGAAGGCTCATCACTTAGGTCTGCCAGTTCCAACAGCATCCTCCACCCACCACAGCTCCCATTTAAGGACCAAAACAATGGCACCTCCCTTTTGTTACTAACCAGAGTTTCCCCAGCCAAATTCCCCAACCAATCAGGCCCCATCACCCCCTTTGGGGGAAACTACGTTCAACCCTCCTCCCCTCCCCCACTCCGGGACTGGCTTCCCAGCCCCTGCCTCTTGATTGGAACCAGACGCAAACCTTCACCAACATTTCCCAAACTTTCATGGAGCCGCCACCTTCCCTTATCTTGGAACTCCGTACCCAGGAGACCCCGCATTTGGAAGAGACCCTGTGTGCGTTCCTACTTAAGGACCAGTTCTGCTTTCGACTGCCGCTGTGGGAAAGGATTTGAGACCCTTTCCCAGATGGGGATGGAGCAGCCTTTTCAGACTTCTCATCCCACTTCTGCTCGTGACTCCGAGGTCCCGCTGGTCGTCGCGGCCACTGGGGAATGCCTAGGTCCCTCGATGACGGTCCCCGCCCCGCCCCGCCTCCCATCCGAGACCCAGTGCTTCTCACCCTCGCCGGCGTCAGCAAGATCTCCGCGGCCGGGGCAGATGCCGAGGCCGGACCAGACGCCGCTGCTTTGTCCGCTTTATCGGCCTTGATGCCCGCTACCGCGGGCTGGAAACTGATTTTCACCATGGCTGCGCTGACCGGCGCCTGCTCCCTGCAGCCCTTGCCTGTGCAACCTCGATCGCAGTGCCTGCTTCTTGCTGCGCTGCAGGCACCGGAAGTTTGGATGGTTCGGGAGTCCTCGCCTCTATCCCCGCCCCGAACACGTCCCGCCCCGCCTTCCACGGAAGGACCTGACGCTTGCGCGGAACTGCACCGCGCAGCACTGTAGCTGAAGAATGCTGAGGTTCCTTCCACTTCTTGCTGGTATCCATTCATTCAGTCGTCGCGCAGGAGTTTGGGCCCCTTTCTTCTCCCTGCCCATGACTAGCTTCCTCACGTTTCGTTTAACACAGCGTTGCCTGGCAACGTGCTTCTAACAAACTGCATCTCCCTGCTCCTCGATCTAGCCTCCTCTTTGATTATGTTGAGAGATCATGCAGAGTAACGGTTCCTGTGCTTTCCTCCTCCAACATTGTGTGTAAAGCTGGAAAGAGGCATCAAGTCCAGGCGCCTAACTGCTTGCCTCTATCCTGAATTCTAAATCCACCCCCGCCCCCTTTATTCTCCACCATGCCTCTTTCTCTATCCTTCAAAACCTTCAAGGAGTGGAGGTGGGGAACTTGTGGTACACAAAACCTACGATACCTTGCAGGCGCAGAATCGTGACTGGAAAATAATGACAAGAATTACAGGGGCTAGCCCAGAGGTTTTGGGTTCCAGTCACGACTCTGCTCCTGCAAAGTATCACGGGTACTAGGAAGAAACCAAGGCTTATGTTGCAGGGCCATCTCTTGACAACAAAGCCCTAGATCTCTCCTCGCTGTCCCTAGCCCAGGCTGTGATAGCACCCAGCATACTGTACTTGGTGTTGGTTCTGCAATGGTGCTGATGAGAGGCGAGGCATTCTGCCAGCTTATTAAGGACAGTCCAGTAGGTTCTGCTGTCCTCTCCTACCTGTCAGGGCTTGGACAGAGTCGCCTTAGGCCTTTGGTGCCCAAGTGCTAGGCCATTGTATCTTGGTTTAGATCTTGTATGAACCAGGCAGTCCAGGAGATACATAGCTCAAGGCAGTGTATAAATGGTATGTGTAAATGGTGCTAAGGCCTGCAGGAATTGAGAGAGTGGAGAGCTGCATCACATGCAGGAAAAGCAAATCCATACCCAGAGGAAGCATCTACTCTGGTAAGGACTAAGCATTACGCTTTCTATGAAGGAAATGGTCCAATGTAGTCAATCTGTCACCAGGGTGCTGGCTGGCCAACCCAGGGAATGGTAGTCAGTGCTGGTCACTGCTGGTGTGGCGGATCTGGCACTCAGCTGCACTGTAGCCAGGTTGCTTTGATGAGTGGAAGTCCATACTGCCAGTCCATGTATAATCTCCATCTCTATCACCATGGCTGCTTTGTTCATAGGCCCATTGGACGATGACAGGGATGACTGGGGAAAGAGGCTGACTGTCCACAGAAGAGGTCGTCTGTCTACTGGAGCACTGAATTCCTCTACTGAAGCCACCTTTTGATGGCACATTACCTAGTGCACAAGTATTTCACATCCTTTGCCTTTTTGTAGCCCAATACTTCTTCCCCAGATGTTTTTCTCACTAACTTTCCATCATGCGCTTCCCAAGTCCCTCGCCATCCAGACAGTCCACTGACTACAGCCCGTGAGTCGGTGAACAATCACATATCTGGACATTTCTCTTCCCAAACAAAATGTACGACTGAGTGTACTGCCTGAAGTTCTGCCCACTGTGACGGTTTCTCTTCCCTGATGTCTTTCAGGGTTGTCCCAGAAAGAGGTTGTGATGACACAGCTGCCCACTTCTAGTGTCTGTTTTGCAGAGAATCCTCAGTAAACAAGACCCTACTCCTCTCCAGTTTGTCACAGGCACCGCTGTAATTTGAGTAAGTTCACACTAGTGAGCTTACATTCACTAGTGATGCCTTTTCCAGATGTTTCTGTTCCTGTGTGTGGCTTTCTGAGTTTCCTAGGGCCATTTAAGCAAGGTACCTGACCAAGAGACAGGAAAACATTAACAGACCCACAGACCATCATTTTTCTTTCTGTCACAACTTATGACCCAAATATAACCACTGTGCTCATTTCCTGCATGCACATTATCAGCCTTGATTATTAAATATGCGAGCATATGTGCACACGGGCACACACACACACACTTCAACACATGAATCCCATGGTGTGTAATTTTTGTGTGTGCATTTGGATCCTGAACACTAGGGTTGTAGGAGTCTTTCCCCAGGTAGGATTGTAAGCTAGGTCATTTTCATTGTGTAATATTCTAGTGTGTTCCACAATTTGTTTCTAGATGCCAGAACAGGGAGATGGTTGGGGTGATGCTACCACAGAAATGTCATCACAGGCATTCTGGCCCCAGTTGTTATCAATACCTGGACAAGTCACTTTGGGGCACTTTCTTGGAAACCTCTCACTTTGTGATATGTAGCATTCAATTTATTGACAGATGACTGTGTTCTGGGCAGGTTTTCAGTCCCTGGCTGAAAAACTAGGCAGCTCTAACTTTTCATTTGCCATCTGGACTCTGGGATAATCTGCAAAGGGAGCTGTGTGACTCTGAACTAGTTTAGTGACAAGGCTTTAGGAAAGGGGATATGGTGGCTGTCTGGAGATACATCAGAACTCTCCTCGCACCAATCCTGACACAAGGTCCTCTTCACACAACTTCTTAACCTCATCAGAAGGCTGGCTTGCAGCAGTGGCAGGGGACACTGCCACCACTGTGCTGGCAAATACCTTCAGTACCAGGAAGCTGGAAAAATCACAGGCAAACAGTTTGTTACCTTTGCAATGATGACTATAATGTAACATTTCTTCGATTTTATTTTATTTTATTAATAAATGTGTGTGTAGGGCTGGAGAGATGGCTCAGCAGTTAAGAGCACTGACTGCTCTTCCAGAGGTCGTGAGTTCAAATCCCAGCAACCACATGGTGGCTCACAACCATCCGTAATGAGATTGGATGCCCTCTTCTGGTGTGTCCGAAGACAGCGACAGTGTACTCATAAATAAAATAAATAAATAAATCTTTAAAAAAAAATGTGTGTGTAAAGCTTTTTGAAACAGCAAAAAAAATAAGTGTGTGTGTGAGTGTGTGTGTGTGTGTGTGTGTGTGTGTGTGTGTGTGTGCCTCTGTTCCCTCCTCCATCTAAATGCTGGGTTTACAAACACACGCAGCATTTTACTTGTGTTCTGCAGATCTGCACTCAGGTCTTCAAGCATTCTCAGCAAGCTCTCTTACCCACTGAATCAGCTCCTCAGATTAAAGAATAAATTCTGTAAGCCAAATTTTTAAAAAGCACAAAATTCCACCAAGTGTTTCTAATGCAAGTGAGTAGAGAAATACCACATTCTTGGAAGGGAAGAATATAAACTTGCCAGCTCTCTCTCAAAGTAAAGCAGATGTGATCAAAACCCTAAAAGATTGGAGGCGGGGGGGGGGGTGGAAAGTCTGTCTTGAAAAGTCATACACTACAGTTGGCAAGTACTGTGAAAAAAAAAAAAGGAAGTTGTGATGGATGTTCTTGGTTGTCAACCTGACTGCATCTGAGATTAACTAAAACCCAAGTGGCTGGGTACGCCTGGGAGGGGTTTGATTGTCTTAATTAAATCATAAGAAGTGGGAAGACCCACTTTAAATCCTAATGTTTTGATGCAGAAAATCTACCTTTAATCTGGACCATACCTTCTTCAGGCAGCCTATATATAAAGGGCATGGATAACGGAAACTTCCCTTGCTTGCCTTCACTCCAACTGGAAAGTCCACTCCTTTACTGGCATTAGAGCCTGCTTCTTTGGGATTCTGTCATATATTGGAGACCAGCTGAGAAAGACAGCCTTATGAACTGAACAACAACTGGATTCTCAGACTGGTAGAAAGCCCTTTGTTGGACTCACTGAACTACAGCCTGTAAGCCATTCTAATAAATCATATATATTAATATATTATGATATATATCCTCCATTATATATGATACATGTATATACATACAACATAAATATATAACATATACATACACATATATATGCATATGATATACATACATACATACATAAAAACTGATATATATATATATATATATATATATATATATATATATATATATCAGTTCTATTCCTTTACATAACCCTGACTAATACAAAAGTATTAATGGCTGGAGATGCTGAGACAACCAAAGCAACAGTGTAACAGTGTGAGTAGGAAAGCTGAGAAGATAAAGCACTGTCGGACTTTCCAAGTTCATGGAACTAGTGATAGACACCTGAAAACATATATATATATATATATATATCACACACACACACACATATACATATACCTATATATAATGGTAGCCTTGTACCCTGCAGGAATGTGGTTGATACAGTGTAGCTGCAGTTTAAAGGTTCATACGCTGGGGTCTGGTCCTCAGTATGACAGTGTTGCAGGGTAGAACTTTTAGGAGGTGAGACGTGGTGGGAGGTATTTAGGTCCTAATTGGGGAAATTGCTCTCAGAGGAATTTAGATGTTTCTTGTAGGATCCTCATCCTACCTCATAAGAAGGCTGTCAAGGAAGCCTGAGCCTGGCTCTCCTTGGCCTCTCTGGCTTTGAAGTTTTACAAGATGCGGAGGCACCTAGAGAGCCCTCACCATGAGTAATATCAGTGCCATGCCCATTATCCTCCAAGATAATGAGCTTGATAAGCCTTCTTTATCACACTAGCCTGCCTCTGGTATTTTGTTATAATGATAAAAAAAAAACAGCAACAACAAAGCAAAACAGACAAGAAACAATGGAAAGCTGGAAGAACTCATAAGTATATTGAAGATGCGGGTACTTTTGAAAGAATCAACAAAAAACAGATAATCTTTAGAAAATATAATTAATAATGAGAAAATGTAGATCCAAGGAGAATCTACATTTTCTCCATGGTGTTAAACCATGGTATGGTAGATGATACAAAATATAAAGTCTTTTTACATATAATCCTTTCTAGTAAGTATAAACATTGTAAAATGAATGGATTTTTTTTTCTGAAAAGTATAAATGGCCAAGATGGACTAGAGAAGAATTAGAAAATCATAATAACCTATAATCAAGGAAACTACTGAAAAACGTTCCCAGGCAATTATCTCCCCCAAATGGCTCTCAACAGGC